ATCCAGTCATGCCATTTCATTTTACCAAACTCCTCTGATTGTTTATTTTCTTTCCCTGACTACTAGGAGGGCCAGTAAGGTGCCCACAACCTTTAATGTTATACTGCTCTCAGCACCTGGAATCCTTTGGGCACGGCTTTAATTCACCTTGACTTTGGCTAATTACAAATGACTTTGGAGGCAATTACAGCTAGAGGTTGATTTTCTTTTTATTTTTATTTTTTTAAATTTTTGACAGCCATATTCTTTSTCTCTCAGTGTGAATAATCCTCAATATTCACAACAATTTGCTGTTTAACTACGAATTTAAAGTGTGGTCAAGACCAAATCTAACCCATCTTTTCATGGCCAAGCTGACTGTGACTGCCTTCTGTGAGTTACATCTATGCACAGGAGAACCTCCTACTTTAACAAATTAAAGCTCTGGCTTTTGTGGATGGAGAAGAAAACATCACTGCCTCCACTGAAGGTACAAAGCCCTTTGTGTGGCATGGATAAATGAAACTCTTCAGACTGAATTACCTGTATTTTAYAGGCAGGTGTTAGGAGTCACAGGTTAACAGCATAATGTTGGCACAATCTAGCATGCCTCATTAAATCCAATCTATAATAAAAAAAAAAAATAGCAAACTGATGTTTTGGTATTTTTAATACACTCAAGCTGAAAAAGCAAACTTTTCCCCTGAAAAATAGCACTGAACACAGAGGTTCCTAAATCAACACCTGGAAAACTACTGTCTGAAACACCTATTTCGGGCCACTTAGGAGAACACCAGTTAAGTTTGTCAACCAGAAAGTAATATTCATCCAGAAAAGGTATCCTATTTACTCAATATTTCAGCAGAAACACGCTTCTAAACAGCCAGCTGAATAAATAATATGGGCATCAGACCATTTCTTTCAGAGCAAGTGTTTGTTATAACCTATTGTGGACTGCAGTAGTTACTATCTATTACATTTTAGAAACTTTGTTACATCTTCTTCCTGGCCTAGCTRAATAACCTTCTTTTATTTAACCAAGAGGTCTTTGTTTTCCTTTACTAAGCTTCCTTTGTTTTCTTGCCCCATAGCCTCCCACTGCTTTTAGGGCTTCTTATTTTTGGCCACATCTTGCTTTCCCAGCCTCCCATCCCTTTTAAAACTTCCACATGTTTTTTGCGTCTCCCATCCCCTTTACTTTCCCTCCCCTCCAGACTTCCAGCCCTTTTACTCTCCCACTCTAATTTAKCCTTTCATCACTTTTAAGGCTCCACTTTTTTCTAGCTACTTCTTGCTTCCCAGCTTCCCACCTCTTTTTGGACCCTCCCACAATTTCAGCCTCCACTCCTTTTTAGCCTCCACTTTTTCCTGGCTTCCACTTATGCTCCAGCCACCCACAACTTTTCCATCTCTCACACAATGTGATCTCCCCTGTTTTCTGTCCTAAACTTTTCCTCAGGTCTCTCACCTTGTTTGGCTTTCCACCACTTACAAGCTTCCACTTTTTTCTCTCCTAAAGTTTCAGTTTAACTTAGCATCCTTTTCCCAATTTCCACCCCTTTTCACCCTCCAATTTAACCTCCCACCACTTCACAGATCCACTTTTTCTGGTCTCTACTCTTTATTTGGCCTTTTGCCCCAGTTGAAGCCTTTACATTTTTCTGGTCTCTACCTGATCTCCAATTTCCCTCTTTCTGGCTTTCCAYCTCTTTTTGCCCCTCTCTTCCTCCTTCTCCCCATGCTCCCCACTAGCATTTCACCTCACACATTTTTGGTCTGTACTTGGGGGTTTTTTGCCTCCCATATAATTGTGTCCTCCTGCCCTTTCATCTGTAGTTCTTTCTCTTTCTCATCCTTTCTTGGCCCTCTACCCTTTTGCAGCCTCTGTTTTTTCTCTACTTATTTTTCTTCTCATTGACCTTTTTTTTTTTGTCTTTTACTCTTTGTTTTTTGATTGATATTTTTTTTTTTTTTTCTCTACAACTTTCTCTATTTCTGCACTTGCTTTCTGGCCTCCTTCTCATTTTTGGCCTCCACTTTTTTTCAGCCTTCCTTGTTTAGTCCATTTCCCCACTCTTTTGCCCTCTAAATTTTCTAGYGAGCCTTCTGCTCTTTTTTAGTTTCCCACTCTTCTTTTCCCTCCACCCCTTTAGGGCCTCACCTTTACATTAAGCCTCCACTCCATTTAATAGTTTCTCACTATTCCTCCTCTCTTCATCAGACCCTCAGACCCCATTTCACAAGATTTCATCAGTGTC